GCTAAATTGGGGCTGCAGCTGAACTCTCAGGACTGTGCCACTGGATACCTACTTCACAAAACCACACTAATAAGAACAGGGGACTTAGGAGCTTTGCTTAGTACATAGAAACAGACACGGAAAGGCAGCCAAAATGGGAAGACAAAGAAGCAGAAACCATATGAGAGAAGAGAACAGAGATCCAGATATAATGGAGTCAAGTAATCTAATAGATGCAGAGTTCAAAACACTGGTTATAAAGATGCTCAAAGAATTTTTAGGAAGTGTAGAAAACTTCAACAAAGAGATAAAAAACAAAAATGGAAATGGAAATTATAAAAAGGAACCAGCCTGAAATGAAAAATATATCTGAGACAAGAAGTATATTAAATGGAATAAACAAAGTGAAGGAAAAGTAAAGAAAGTAAAGAAAAGGATGAAATGCCCTATCTAGTGGACTGGAAAGCCAAGGACACTCAGAAAGGCAAGAGATAAGATGCCAAGGCTACAAAAATAATCTAAAGACAATATGGGACACTATTAAGGATCCAAATATCTGTCTGATCGGCATAACTGAAGAAAATCAAGATGTTGAACAGCTGTTTGAAGAAATAATGATGGAAAACTTCCCTAACCTGGTGAAGGAAATGGACATAAAACCCCAGGAGGCTCAGAGAATCCCCAAAACCAGAGATTCAAAGAGGCCCACACCAAGATACATCATAATTAAAATGCCAAAGGTTAAATACAAAGAAAGAATATTAAAAGCGTCAAGAGAAAAATAGTTACCTATAAGGGAACACCCATAAGACTGGCAGCCGATTTCTCAAAAGAAACTATTCAGGACAGAAGGGCATGGCAAAAAATATATATATATATATTCAACAGGATGAAGACCCAGGATCTGCAACCAAGAATACTTATTCCAGCAAAGCTATTTAGAGTTGAAGCACAGATAAAGAGCTTCCCAAACAAAAATAAGCTAAAAAAACATGTATCAAAAACAGGAATAAAGAATGGTAACAACTACATTCCTATCAATAAGTACCTTAAATGGAAAAGAATTAAGTGCTCCAACCAAAAGATAGAGTGGCTGAAAGAATAAGAAAACAAGACCCCTACGTATGAAAAGGGGATGAAAAAAGATATTGATGGACCTAGAAGGTATTTAAGTCAGACAAAGATAAACACTATATGATTTCACTTATATGCAGAATCTAAGGAATAAAAAGAACAAACTAATCAAACATAGACTCACAAATATAGTGGACAATTTGGTGATGGACAGAGGGGAGAGGGGTTTGGGGGGCTGAGAGAATGGGGTGAAGGGTTAAAGAAATACAAATTAGTAGCTGATGGATGGTCACGGGAATGGGGAGTACGGCAGAGAGAATGCAGTTATCATTAATATGTTGGTTAGGTGGAGGGTCAGGGAAGGGAAGGAGCAATTGGGATTGTTTTATGAACTATACAGATGTCTAACCAATGTACTATATACTTGAAACCAATTAAAATAAATAAATTTTAAAAAAATAAGGATATGTGGAGGTATAGTTTTGAAGTGAGGTTTTTATGTTTATCCAAAGAGGGATTTTAAAAGGTTGAGAAACACTACTACTAATAACTAATACAGATAAATTTCTCCCAGGTTAATATGTATCACTCTCACTGATGCCAATGTCAAATGTAACTGGGATAAAAAGCCATACCAAATTAAAAATAATCATAAATATTAAAAAAGAAGATATGACTGGAACTTAAATAGTAATGATTAAAATTTACAAATGGAAAGTGTTCATATTTATACAGTTGTGTTTTCCGAGCTGTAAAAGGTAATGTTTCCAGAAAAACATACTCTCGAAAAAGAACATTAACATTTTGTCTGGCAAGCTGTGTTACTGTGCTCTGAAAAGACTTCTAAGAGTCATTCAGAAAAACATGGACAACAAGGAGTGGGGTCCATCATGTCTTGAAACTAGACATTCTACTAAACATTAACTATCTTCATCTTAAAGTATATTTGTTCTATTTTAAAGTTTCAATTTTGAAATATTATTAAGCACAGTTACGGTCATATATATATTTGGTAATTTGTAGTTATACTTTACCTAAATATATCAATCCAAATCCTCCTGAGCCAATCTTCTTGCCCAGCACCCACTGTTTCCCCTCTGTATCATCCAGAACCTTGCCTTCTGGAAGTGCAAGAGGAAGTTTGTATTTCTCATTTCTTCTTGGTGGCATCACTTCTGCTGGCAGAAGGGGTGAGATAAGTGATTAAAAATAAAACAACAGCAACATAAAAACTCCCGTTGAAATACATTTCTCAAAATGTCTTCTATGGGGCACTTTCCCAGGTTCCTAGAAATTAGGATTCTGGAGTCGATTGGGTTTCAGAAAGCTCACACACTATATTCAAAATGGAGATACACACACATTACAATATTGAATTCTAAGCAGTGCTGATATTATAAAACAAACCTGTTAAATGTCTCTTAATTCGACATTTCCAAAATTCACTTAGAGGGTCTATAATACCTATTAACAGTGAAGAGTATACCTTATGAGTTAATTTCTGATAACAAAGAGAAAATAAATTGTATATGTTCCTTTCACTGAAAATGCTGTGTTGAAGATGAGAAGGTCTTCGGTCACTATGAAAGAATAGTTTTGGATTGGGAAAATACGGAACACGGCAATAGACATCATTACCAAACACAGCAAGTGACACATAGTTTTTAAATGAGTCAGGGATTTTCATGGATTTATTATTTAGCAGAGCCCTAGGCCATTGGGTAGTTTCAGGCTGTTACATGCCTCTTTCAGCTTCTTCCTTTTTCTTTGTACTCTGCACCTTCCCCAACCTCATCAAAGTAAAAATTGCCCTGCCTTAGAGATTAAAGCGGCACTGCCAACAACAGCACAGACTCCACAGTATAGTCACACAACTTTAATCAATTAATTATAATTGTACACAGGTTAGTGAATTTCACAATGAGAGATCTGGGGCTGCAAAAGGAAATTTCTTGGGGTGGGGGGAGGGTTGGTATATCACGTATATATGCCTGAAACTAATTTAAATGTGAAGGTAACTGTAATCCTCTAAATATTTCCAAAGAATTTTTAAAAACTGGTGAGTGCTTTTGAATGAAAATTAAGTTTTCATTTTATCATCTTCTGTCTTCCGAATGAGAAACTGTTCCTTTTAATAGGTTTTCCCTCCTTCAATTAACTTTAATCCAAACCCCTATCATTTACTTAGCAGCAGCGTCCCAGGTAGACAAAGCAACACAGCTGAAATCTTTAACAATATTCACCTGTCCTCCTCCTAACGCGAACACAAGGGAAGCCAGGAAGTTAGATAGTAAGCTAAGCCTAAAGTAGGAAAAGGATTTGTGGGGATTCCTCCACGACCAATACTTTCTATATATTGGTGTCCAATAAATATTTGTTGTTTTAAAACCTAAAGTCTCCAAAGAACAACTTTTCAGCTGCGCATAAGTTCTAAATAAGTATAAAGAGGATAAACACAGTTTGGGGCAGCAGAACTTCAGACCTGAAAGTTGAATCTGTCTATAAAATGCACATCCTGGGCGCGGAGCCCCAAGTTCACTTTCCCAGACGCAAGCGACAGCCTCCCTTCAAGGCCAGTCTCCGACACGGGTGTCCCTTCTGCTTCTCGGTTTCTTCTTAGGGCGACGATGAAAAGCGCTCACCAAGAGTTTCTGGGGACAAACCGGTACCCAGAGGCCAGACGCGTGCCAGGACCCGACTTACGGCCGGCCGCGGCGACGCCCCGCCCCCCACCGGCGTCCGGAGACTCTCGTCCCGCCTTCCACGCTCTCGGAACCCGCGAAAGAAAATCCCCCGCTTCCCCGCCTAACTTCTCCGTCCGGCGCTTTGGGGCAAACGCGAACTGGAGGGAGAAACGGGTTCTCGCTCCGAGTTAGGAAAAAGTAAGGAACCAACCGCGGAAGCAGGGACCCGTTCCGGGCCGGCGTCTCCCTCCGACGGCAGCTCCTCCCCGGCCTGGGGCGCAGCGGTGCCGGCTCTTGCCCGAGGCGCCAGAACCCGAGAGCAAGCGGAGGCGGACCAGGCCCTGGGCCTC